ATTTGGTGTAATGAAATGTGTTTATGCGGTTTAAGGTTAAAAAACACATTACTTTCCACATACTGTACATTATTGTTTCTCCTCTATGCCCCGCCTTTCTGAAAAATTTTCATGAATTCTCATTACTGTAAAGACTTTTTTTCCAGTTCAAATACAGTTTTGTAATCATTCACAATGTAATCACTATTAAAGGCAGTACAGCAATTGCTAATCCATGTTTCAGTAATAAGAATGACACTGTGGACTTTGCATTACAGTAAATTAAAGACCGTTTTAATATTGTGCACTGCGTTCTGTGCAATTAACCAGGAACATGCATTAAGAAAGTGAAATTGTGATTTCAGGTTAACCTGAATTCTAAGGGGCAGCATGAGGCTGGAAAATGCGTATGTAAATGAAATTGCATAACTGCTGCAAGTGCAAGAAACTCTCAAGAAAAATGACTAATTGAGCATCTTCAAGCAAAAAACATTAAATGCTACAAAAACTGTGCTAAGTTGTGTATAATATAACTGTACAGTCCTATTTGTAATGCATAATTTGGACAAACATACTTGTTATATTTTGTTAGGAGGGTATATACAATACTCTGAAGGTGAAAGGGTTGCAAATGGTCTTTTCAGTAGTTAAAATTTAGTTGATATGCCTAGTTCTGTGAACATCTCCTTAACACTATAATGAGAATGCAGACATCCCATGAGCCTTTTATCATTATTAGGATCTTTGCACGTCACAGTCTGCTACAGAAATCCTCCAGAGACACTTTCTTTTCAATAACATTCTGTTGCACTGAGTCCAGGTCTAAAGATCGCTGTTCAGTGCTGCGGGTTATTTCTCACTCTGCTCTGTTTTGAATTACTGCTGTTTTCTTATTCCTTTTCCAAACATCAAATCTTACATCTTACTCGCCTCTGGTTTTGCTCTTTTATTCTGCAGGTCCCTACAGGTCTCTCTCTGTGGTGGCCTTTGAGTGGTTTTCCACCATTGAGTGGGAGTCTACACACAAACAAGCCAAATACAAAATAATTTTTGGGCAGACGGAGGGAAAAGCCTCTTGAGGTGCCCACAGACGGGGGCTTCAGCTGTGCAGAGCGGTGCTATGGTGATAGTGAAAGGGTCGTATTTCAGTATCACCTGCCATACGCTATTTGGTACAGTGTAGTATCATTGGACTTCTTTGTAAGCCTTCCTGTGGACCTGTTGGAAACAGCCATTCAGTGTTCTTGATATAAAGCTTTTAAATTTCACATTCAGTATCGTTTGGAAATATTTTGTTTTTCTAACGCAGCAGGAAATGTATCAAACACAGAAACGCATTCACATTATGCTTGTCTCTGAGATGAAGGAAGACTTCCTGCCTCCTCTGTCATTACTGTTCATACAAAATCACATCCCAAAATGACTTTAAAATACATTTTAATGCTTTGCTCTTGACACAAAGAGATCCCTCCTTTCCACATACGCAACACGTATGGGTTGAAACCGCATTTTTATGAACTATTCTAGCTGGTTTCCTGCCCTTTGCATTATAATCACACTAAAAAGAGAAAAATATGGGAGAATTAAATAAAAAGAGGTTAAAATGCTGCATGAACAGCATTGGCACAGCTCAATTTTTGTTTCTGTGCCAGTTTTTAATGGAACAAGGTGTGGAATTTTGGATCAGGATCAAATATCCGTGTGTCTAGTCATATCGCTAATACATAAAAAAAAACTGTGGAAATTAATGTTACTGCAGAAATAACTATTACTATACTCTACTGTATGGTGCTTCAGGTAATAATAAATTACTACGTTGAATTTTAAGGACTTTTTGGGTTTATTTTTGTATAATTTTGAATAAATGTGTATTTTTTTTTTATAATTTTGAATAATAATAAATTGATAAACAAGTATGGGACACCCCCGATGTTCACCAAGTCTGCATTTATTGATCAAAAATACAGGAAAAGAGTAATATTGTGAAATATTCTTACAATATAAAATAACTTTTTAATGTGATGGCAAAGCTGAATTTTCAGCAAAAACATTTCATATTAATCAAAATGGTTGTGCTGTTTTTTTTTTTTTTTGTAAATAGCAAGTTACAGTGATTATAAATGTCTTTACTGTCACTTTTGATCAATTTAATGCATTCTTCCTGAATAAAACTTCATTCATTAAAAATACTGACACCAAACTTTTGATCTGTAGTGTATATACAGATATACTTATTACCAAATATTCTAACCAAGTTTTACATTATTAAAAACCTGAGAAAGTAGATTACTGCAGATATCACTATTACTATACTGCACAGTGTGGTGCTTCAGGACCCAAAAATGAGCCAAAAGTAATAGTAATAAATTACTATGTTGGATTTTAAGGACATTTTTGTTTATTTTTGTATATGATAAACAACTATGGGTCACTCTAGAAAGTAAAATCTGGGTCCTGAAGCTATACTACTGCTGTACCTAATGTGCTGCTTATCACATTTATCACTTATGACTCATTTTACACTCTCAGTCTCAGATTATTAATCATTTTATACTGCAGAAAGACAGTTCAGCACGACTTAATAAGTCTGACAAATATGACTCATCTTCATGACACACGATCAAATGGCTGCGTTCGGCAATGTGCGCAATGGAGAGGGCAGACTCCGATGGATTTGACATGGGGGTGGGGATGCTGGTATAGGGGGAGGATAAAGGGGAAACGGGGGGTTGGGATGGGATGGAGCAGCATCAGGGGAATCCGTTAGGGCAGAGGTCAGCGGTGTCTCTGACAATATTTGTTAGAACAAGCTGCGGAATTATAGATCAGGATCAAGAATCTATTTATCTAGTTGTAACACCAGAAAACCAAACAGGCTTATTTTTAATTCTGTTCTATTATATATATACGGTCCAACCAGGTACTAGCAAGGTGTAACTATTAAAGTGGCCAGTGAGTGTATATCACAACAGTCAACTCAATGCGGTGATACATAAATTGCTTAAGAAAACAAGCACTCACTTTGACCTGTTTTCAGCTTGAAGCCCTTAAAAATAACCCGATGCAATGAGGCAAGACACACTTGACAAAAACATCTTAAAAGTATGTGAGAAAGTTACAGTACAGAACGCGTGCATGGATTGGTCTTGTACTGCAATTAACCGTCTAATGAGAGAACAATGCAGGGAATGCTGGGAATGTCTGGCTGGTTGAATTCCACAGTTTTTGATTTTATAGTTTATGCTCCAAAAACAGTGAAATCAGATGCAATAAGTTTCAAATTCGTAGATAGTCTTTTAGTTACTGTTCAGTCACTCTGTAAAAAGAGAGTGTGATCTTGGACTTTGAACATGCATACACTCTAAAAAATGCTGGGTTAAATATAACCCAGCGCTGGGTTATATTTAACCCAGCATTTTTTAGAGTGTAGACTAATAATATTAGTATTGCTAAATAAATATTTAATGTTAAGCTGTTACAAATAAAATTACATTTTTGAGCTAATATACACTCTAAAAAAATGCTGGGTTAACCCAGCTGTTGGGTTAAATTTTTCAATTAAATTTTTAACCCAAAAGTTGGGTTAGTCTATATTTGACCCAGAAACAACCCAGCATTTTTTTAAGTATATATATATATATATATTAGTGCTGTCAAACGATTAAACATATTTTTCTTAAATATATACATACATGTGTTTGTATTTATATATAAATAATAAATATACACAGTATACACACATATATATGTAAAAAAAAACTTTTATTTTGGATTAATCACGGACAGTTCTAATATATATATATATTACGTATATTAATACTTTTATAAAATATAAAATATTGATCAAAAGTGACAGTAACATTTATAATTTTACAAAGTTTTTCTATTTCAAATAAATGCTTATCTTTTAAACTTTCTATTCACCAAAGAATACTGGAAACATTATAATGATAATAATAAGAAATGTTCTTTGGGAAGACACATGAAAAAATACTATACTAATTTATAGTAAATACTATAGTGTTTTTGAACCATACTATAGTAAAGTGTATTATACTGTATATGTTATAGTATTTACAACACTTTGTTAATGAATGCTACAGCATACTGTAGTATTAACTATAGTGAACTGATAAACTGTAATAAATACTGAAGTATAACTTTAGTTTTTACTACAGAAAACTGTAGTGTATTGTAGTATAATATACCCTATAGTTGTATAGTATATAGTATATATATAGTATGCTATTCTGTGTCAGCTGCGTCACACGGATACGCTGTTTCCGTTCAGATCAAATCACAACAACGTAGGAAACAGATCCGGCGTGACGCAGCTGACACAGAACAGCATACGCTGTTTACGTCCAGCGGATATTCTCCAAAATGGCACCAACTGATGTCACATGGATTATTTTACAGATCTCCTTGCTACGTTTCTGGACTTGGGAACATTTCAGTTGCGTTGCTGTCTATGCAGGGTCAGACAGCTCTCAGATTCCATCAAAAATATCTTAATTTGTGTTCCGAAGATGAACGGAGGTCTTACTGGTTTGAAACGACATGAGGGTGAGTAATTAAAGGTGCAATAGGAGATGTTGGAAAATGCTAACTTTAGCCTGATAGCACTGAAAGCGAACGTCCCACCCTCCCTGCAATCGCCGTCCAAAGCCACGCTCCCTGAACGCATTTACGCTCACAGACCAGAGACAACATTACTTCAATACATTTAGACCACTTAACTTAATGATTGCTATCGGGATGAGAAGAGACTTTCAACCAGCATAACAAAAAATGTTTCTGAAGACAATCACCTATTGCACCTTTAATGACAGAATTTTCAATTTTGGGTGAACTATCCCTTTAAATCAAAAGCGAAAAGTTATTGTTTAAAAAAAAATCTCAGAAGTCACTAAACATAGAATGAATGCTGATGCGTGTGGTCTGGGTTTTGTTTGCTCTTAATAACACTGCGGTTGACCTCTCTTTTCGCCTGCGTGTCATTGTGAGTGAACGCTACTCACGGCAGTTCTCCTCATCGCTGTTGTCGGAGCAGTCATCATCATCATCGCATCTCCATATGGTGGGAATACATCTCTTATTGTTGCACTGAAACTGTCCATCCTCGCACTCCGTGTCAGCGCCTGTGAACGACAGCGAAGAGAATTACAGTCGCCCACGACAGATAACCTGACCTGCACCCCATCACAATATATCTACTACTGCACAATAACACATGACTGAACCGAGCGAGTCCAAACACACAACGTGCTTTGAGCAGCAATGCTATTACTACACGCGCAATTCAATGAAGCCATGACAAAGAAAACGAAGGAAACACCCACAAATCTGTATCTTTCCCTCAGAGCTGTTTCAGACGAACATGTTTCTGTTCGGATGGTGATGCTCATGAAACAATAAAAGCAAATGCTGCCAAATCATCCTCCTTTGATATTTTGCTCGTGTTCTAAACTACCTTTTTTATGATTAAGTGCTTTGTTTGGGTTTAAAGGCAGAAATGTGGAAAGAAGACTGCAATGTGCCCGTGGCATAAAGAGTGTTGAGTCTCGCGCACCCACGAAATAACCAACACAGCATCATTCACTCAGTCCATTGAAAAATCTCCGGATGATTTCATTTCCAGAAGAGAATATAACAAACCTTTTGCCGAGTATAATTCCGACACTAAAAAATGCAAAAATACTAATTTCCCAATTTCTGCCCACATTTCCGAAACGGGTCAGAGTGTTGCTCCACAAACAAAAGCGCGTCCGGATGGCGTCGCTCCTTCACTGAATCTCCAAAAGATTCTCTGGCAATATTTGAACCAATGACGACATCAAACGTAAGCGAGTATGAATAATAACTGCACTGAAAGACAGTGTGCTATCAAACAAATGAGGCATGATGAAGTCAAAACAATGCAATAATTAGAATTTTAGCATTTAAAACAAGTTCCCCATTATTAACAAGGCCTAATTCTTTTATTTATTCTTTTATTTATATAAAAAAACACTTTTGTTTATTTGTATTTAATTTATTAATTTGCTAGTTTATTTATTAAAGAGTAACAGTAGGATGAGTGGTTGGCAAAAAAGATTTGATGTAGAAACAATTTTCACTCAGAAACTGCTAATAAATAACAAAGACTAAAAATAGTATTTTCTCGTAAAACATTCTCCAATAACCTTCGAAAAATATTTTTACAGTGTAAATTTTATTGTATTATTCATTTGATAAATCCTAAAGTGACTTACAGTACAGTTCTTTTTAATCGCCATATACAGTATCTATTTTTTCCCTGCGAATTTCCAGATATATTGAAAACAGATATTGAGTGCATGGATAATTTCGCCTAAAAATCGGATGAAACCCAGCACCGCCCTTCCGGGATGTTCACACACATTTCCTTAAAAACGTATCACCCTGAAGCAATATAAGAAGGCAGAAAAGAAGGCATGAGATGATCAGTTTTGAAACTGCATTAATTAGAATCCTTATTAAGATAATGGGGTTAGGTGACCTTGTGAAAGAGTTACAGTAATATACTGCATCTGTGGCACTGTGCCAGCATGAGCTATTCTGTCAGTCAAAACTAGGCCAGACCTATCCTGACAGGATAATCAGTCATTTTAATAGCAGTAAAATGGGATTGAAGCCCCTCCCATGTACGCGGCCAATGACAACAAGGTATTCAAAGGGAAAATGTTACAGGGGCAAAAAACCTATTGGCATGAACTTGGCATATACAGATTATGTAAACCAGTGGCAGCCGCCAATCTGCCTTCTGGGATCCACTGAATTGCCACTGAAAGAAATTTTTTTTTTTTAAGTGTTTGAGCAGATGTTTTAAAGGAATAGTTCACCCCAAAATAAACATTTTCTGAAAGTTTACTCACTCTCAGGCCTTCCAAGATGTAGATGAATTTGTTTCTTCATTGGAACAGATTTGGAGAAATGTAGCATTACATCACTTGCCTGTCAATAGATCCTCTGCAGTGAATGGGTGCCGTCAGAGTGAGAGTCCAAACAGCTGATTAAAAACATCACAATAATCCACAAGTAATCCACACCACTCCAGTCCATCAGTTAACATCTTGTGAAGAGAAAAGCTGCGTGTTTGTAAGAAGCAAATCCATCATAAAGTGTTTTAACTTTGAACTCACTCTCATTCTGATGGCCTCTTGCTCATCAAGGCTGCATTTATTTGATCAAAATTACAGTAAAATATTGTGTAAAAATTTTTACAATTTTAAATAGCCTTTTCCATTTTAATATATTTTTAAATGTAATTTATTCCTGTGATGCAAAGCTGATTTTTCAGCATCATTGCTCCAGTCTTCAGTGTCACATGATCCTTCAGAAATCATTGTAATATGCAGATTTGAAACTCAAGAAATATTATCAATGTTGAAACAGATTTCGCTGCTTAATATTTTTAAATGGTGATAAGCTACCATGTAAAGCTTTGGAGTATGATCAAAGAAAAGAAATCAATACTTTTATTCATCAAGGATGCATTAGATGGATTAAAAGCAACAGTAAAGACATTTTAATGTTACAAAAAACATCTATTTCTAATAAATACCGTGCAATGAATTTTACTCACTGAAGAATCCTGAAGAAAATGTATCAGGGTTTCCACAAAAAAATTAAGCAAAAACTGTTTTCAACATTGACAATAACAAGAACCATTATTAATAATTGAGCACCAAATCAGCATATTAGAATTATTATCTGAAGAATCATGTAACACTGAAGACTAACGATGCTAAAAAATAATACCACCACAGAACTACATTTTAAATGTATATTTATAAAAAAAGAAGAAAAAAAATATATTTTAAATTGTAGTGACATTTTACAATATTTGTTTTTACTCTATTTTTTTATCAAATAAATGCAGCCTCGGTGAGCAAAAGAGTATTTTTTCAAAAACATTAGCCTATAACATCGTAATTATTCCAAACTTCTGGCAGTCAGTTTGAACTTCTTTATTAATGTATTTTAAAGCACAACAATTTGTTATTATTTATGGTCTTTAGGTCAGATATAAAAATTTAAAAAAAAGGTTACATGTCAAACTGTAATTTTTGAAAAACTGTAAAAATACAAAATAAAATACATTAAATTCTCATTAATGTGCTCACTGTGGTTAAAAAAAAATTATATTGTAAAAAGTGTTGTTTCACATGAATAGTTACAACTTTGGGAATTTCCCGCTTTAGGGGAATTCCACTGTCTGCAGTTTCTAGACAGGCATAATGAGAAAGTCTGTTTTCTCACGCTGCTGGTGTATCACGTGAATCTTTTTTTTTTCGCAACATGAATTTCAAGAAATTGGCGGACAGACCCCTACACACGAAATTTATTCAGATGTAACTCATTAATTTGATATTTCAAACTATTATTGATATTTCCTGGATTTTTCGTGCGATGGCAAATATTCTAGAAGCGGCACCAAATAATCGAATAACGGCAGAAAGAGCCGCGCGCAGCCCGAAGTGCGCCAGGTGTCGGAACCACGGCTTCGTCGTCCAGTTAAAAGGCCATTCGGGAAGATGTCAGTTCAAACAGTGTTTGTGCTGGAAGTGCTCTCTCATCAACGAGCGGACGAGAATCCTCGCATCTCAACGACGGATTAGATCCGTTCAGGGAAACGAGTCACCGGGTACCGTTCGTCCCGAGCAGACCGCTCTATCCGGCAGAAAAACGGTCTCCGCGGGTAACAATAAATCAACCAACCGGGTTAACGGTGACACCGACGCCAGCGCAAGAAAGGAGAGTACTATTAATTCGCCCGTTGACGATACAACGTACATCGAGCTCCATGCGCCTAGCAGCACGCGCGGTCCCCTAAACTTGAGCGCGGTTTATCGGGATCCGAAGACACCGGCGGGACCGAGTGGCACTGTTGGAGGTTTGTGCTTTTTTTTTTTTTTTATCACTTTTATCAATAATTTTTTTAAATCTTATTCTCTAATCTTTTAATTTTCTAAGTATACGTATCATGTTTGGGAGGGACTCTTATTAGCAAACATTATAGACAGACTTTTCAGATTATTGAAAAGGGATCAGAAAAATCAAAATTTAACAAAAATAAAAGGATTCAAGGGCATTTAAATGCACTTTGTAATATTACTGAAAATAAATATATACGCTTTTTTATTTACCCTAATAAACTATTTATGCCTGAACAGACTTAAAAAAAAGTTTTTGTAACCTAACAGTTAATCAGGGTTCGTGGGAGTCTGTAAAAGATTCTCAGTTTGATCAAATATAAGGTCATAAACGTCTTAAATATCTTAAATGGTACAACAAAAGTCTTAATTATAATTTTAAGAGTTCTTGAATTTGTGGACGGAAATTGCGACACGGCCTAATTTGATTATTAAACTTAATAAGGCAATGATGTAGGCCTAATTACTTAATAAGGCAATGATGTAGGCCTAATTACTTAATAAGGCAATGATGTAGGCCTAATTACATAAATGCAAGGGCTGTTGCCGTTCCACAGGCTCGCGGTTTCACAACAGTTCGCAATCAATGAATACCTAATGACAACGTTTACTTAATGTTTACTTTATGGTATTTATATAGTATGTTGTAGATGGTTATAAGAGTCTATATTTCATCCCCCTACTCTCAAAGTTGGCCTTATTATTATCAAGCGGCGTTGGAAGTGGTAGAGCATAAACATTTCAAAACAAGAATCCCGGCGTTCTGACGATTTGTGCTACCCTGTCAGATTTTGCTACCTCCCATTGAAACAGTATGTAACATTAGCACAATGCGACAACAAAAAATGCGACCCATCAGATTATGCTTTATTAACGCGACACCTACCCCAACCCTAAACCTACCCTTACAGTAATGCAAATACAGCAATTATGTGTTGTTCAGCGTGAGAAAATTGACGCAATATTGATGTGCACATGCGCAGTAAACCCTGGTAGGGCAATCTGAGGGGTAGGATGAAATGTCAGGACACCTGTGTATTTCGGCCTCATATATGATTAAAAATAAAATGTAAATAAAATATAATTTTCTGGACATTACTGGTAATTTAGTTAAACAATAAACTATATTTAAAACTTGTCAACAATAAACTTAATAAACAATAAACTTGGCATTTAAATCAATGTAAACCCTCGTGGCTTCTCTCTCGGTCGCCAGTCTCAGGAAGGAAAGATCTAAAGTGACCCTATTATGCCATTTTTAAGGTTCCTAATATTGTTTTGGGAGTCTCCTGCAATAGGTTTACATGCATGCAAGGTCAAAAACGCTTTCGTTTTCTCAAAATATGCATTTAATATCACCTCATTTTCCAGCGATTCTCAAATGATTAGTTCGAAGCAGTTCTAAGATTCAGTCTCTCTAAACCCCTCCTTTCCGTGAGCCTACTCTGCTCTGATTGGTCAGATGGCCCAGTGTGTTGTGATCGGTCTCCCGCGTACAGCGCGTGTCGGAAACCATACGTCCATTGCCATAGTTCTGTATTTTGAACGCTCGATAGAAAATATAAACATCTATTATTTATCATACTTACAGGTTGTGATTCAGTGGAGCCAGCTGCTCCAAATAAACTGAGTACTGAGCCATCTTTCAAGAGCAAGCGTTTGTGAGCGTTCAGCGTAGAACATAGGCGGGCATTATGCAAATGTGTTACTCTGTGACGTGTAGCCGTCACGGAAGTGGGATTCGAATTCCTGACGACTCGTTCAGGCTGTTCAGAGTCGAATCTTTCTTTTGGGAGACAATAACTTTATTTATCGTGCACTTTCGGCTTTACAAATTTGCTGATCGTTTACATTCATATACAGCTACATTACACACTGCATGAAAGGCAATATTGGAAATGGCATAATAGGGGCACTTTAACTTTAACTATAAATAGATTTTTACTAGTGTCAGTACAATAATATGTTTATTGTCTTTCTTGAAACACATTATTATAGATTCCAATATCAATAGACCTCTAATTTGTATTTACTGATATATTAATATATAAATCAATTTCAGTATGTTGAATAAAACATGCATTGACTATTTTAAACTTCGTCATTTATCAAAAATGCAATTGGCTGTATAGTCTAATCAATTTAATTTCTCTGGTCATACCAAATATTTTTCATTTGCATAAAATTAGTTCATTTAGATGCGACCACAATGCAGCAACATTATCTTTGTCAAGTTTCAAAAAATTTTTTACAGTGTAATAAATACATTAACTGTTATCTTTTAAACATGCTATAATATTTCCTTTTTTTTTTTAAGTAAAGGTATTAGAAGGTGTTACAAAATATTGTGTAATACTGTATACATCCACAGATGCACCACCTTTTCCTGGAGAGTGCATAATTAAAGAGGCAGTTCCAGGGCAAATGTATCCAGCAGAGATGTTCGCAATGCCTCTTCCCCTGTACCAACATTACCCGGACAGATACACGTTCCCGGCCGTGCTGGTGACCCTGAGACCACCTGCACCAGGAGCCTTCAGGGAACATGTCGGATTTGTTCCCTTGCCACCAGGGGCGCTGTCCCATCCACTGGAGGCTCATGAATGGCAAGTACGTTTCACAGGCATGATTGTTCTCTAATGGCATCCATGAAAATGCCTACAAACTATTATGTTAGTACGACAAAAACAGCATTGTAGTCAATGTGAGAGCTAGTACAAAATTTGGTATGTGAGTTAAGTCTTTGATACATACATGATCAAAAGTTTGGGGTCAGTAAATGTTTTTAAAAAGAAATTAATACTTTTATTTAGCTAGGATGAAAAATGAGGAGAAAGAGAAAATATGTGTATTTCTTATTCACTTTATCTTGTGCAGTCTACTTACAGTATGAGAAAGCTTGAAACACCAAAACTAGTTTAGCTTCTTTGATGTTCTTTTTCTAATCACTTCATTTTCCATAATCTGAGCAGACGGCAGTCCTGCGATAACAGACTACGGCCGACAGTATTATTGTAGCTGTGTAACTCATTAGATTTTTCAGATGTTATCCAAACCTTTGGGAACAGTGTAAATCAATAGGAAGGTCATGTTTATGAATGTTCCTTCAAAGTTTAGTTCTGGCCCAGACTTTTTCAGCAAAAACCTTTTCTGGTGTATTTCCACTAAGTCTGTTTCTTCTGTTCTTGTGTTTCTGGAGATCCATGTTCCGCATTATAGTCCGTACCCCCCATATGCAGGGATGAGAGATGAGCACTTCCAGCATTCACACAGTCACATGGAGGGAGAGCCAGGAAGATCTGAGCTTTCTCCTCAAGTCGCAAGAGTCCCAGGTATTAAAGATTGAAACTGTACATTTATTACTGTACACTGTTGATTATTCTGATAAAACTAGGCGAGAAGACAGGGTTTCTACGGGTCTTAAAAAGCCTTAATTCACCCTTACACAAATTAAGGCCTTAAAGGAACACGCCACTATTTTTGAAAATAGGCTCATTTTCCAACTTGCCTAGAGTTAAACAGTTGAGTTTTACCGTTTTCGAATCCATTCAGCCGATCTCCGGGTCTGGCGGTAGCACTTTTAGCTGTAGCTTAGCATAGATCATTGAATATAATTAGACCGTTAGGAGCAGAAAGTGTTAAAATCATAAAGTCATGGCATTACATGTTGCATGCACTGCAAAAAAATAGCATCTTCCTCAGTATTTTTGTCATTTTCCAGTACAAATATCTAAACATCCACATAAGATACATTCACATGCGATGCAAAATGATATAGTTCAAGTCTAATTTTCTGAAAACCTGAACAAAATTTATGTTTAATGCTTAAAAGTTAATGCTTAAGACAAGAGCAAATATCTGTCAATGAGGAATGAAAACATTCCATTTTCATTAAGTTGATTTTTCTGAGCCTGTTTGCTGATTTGTTCATGTTTTACCATAAACTCACTTCATTTTGATCAATTTCTCAGAAAACAAGACTTATATTACAATATGTCATTTTGCTTTCCAAATATTTGTGTTATTGAAAACAAGACAAAAATACTGAGGACGAACAGAAGGTCATCCATAATTGCAATTATTTTAACCCTTGTGCGTCAATTAAAAAAAGTTACACATAGGTCCATAGTGGACAAAAATGTCCATGTCAAAAAACTGTCATAAAAATTTGAAGCTTTATTTTCTTTATAGATCAAACCTGAAAAAATGGCACCATCTGGTAATTTTTTTTAAAAAAGATGTAATTTTAAAGCCTTGCCAATATAATGAAAGCCTATCAACAAAAATTGCATAATTTTACAGTTAAATGGCACTGCAATTAAAAATAGCAGTTTTAATGGGTTTCAATGGGGACATTTTTGTCCTTAAGGTCCTGAGAGGAACAATCTTTTGTACCTAGTGCAAAACAGATTTATTAAAGGAAATGGAAGTGAAATAGTAAAATTCCAATAAAAATACACACCTGTGCCAAAATTTATGCAGTTGGCAATAACACAGGCAAAATGATCAAAAAAACTAAACTGAAAAGGACAAAAATGTCCTGAACAAGGGTTAATATAATAAATACTTTTTCTTTTTTTGTGTGAAATGAATTCATTAGTAATGGAGATCTGTTGGAAGTTGTATTTTCAAACTGTTGCTACTACAACTCATTTTCTGCTCTCTAGACATTTATAGGACATATTGTGTTCCCTTCAGTTTGATCCTTAAATTTTCTTTATTCGGTCTTAAATTGACCTCCATAAAACCTGCAGAAATCCTGGAAAGAAAGAAAAAAAACACTCCCATTTTATCACAAATAAAATTCATAATAGGTCTATTCAGTCGGATGACATTATGTATGACACGTTTGCTATGTGTATTGGACTGAACTGAGGTAAATATAAATCATAATCAGTGATTTGAGCTGTTTTTATATGATGGATTATGTTGATAAAATAACAGTAAATGATACCTAGCAAAACCTTGTGATACATTATAAATATCTGAAATAAGTTAAAACCTTTTACTAAAATACAGTGATGCTCTCATCAGATTAAAAGTCTTTAGGCACTAGACACTTTAAAATAGTTACTTCACTTCAAAATACATACATTTCTGGTTACAACTGTCAGGATCTCACAGCAAATGATGAAATCTAGTATACTGAAGTTTTCAAACAATTTAAGTACATCATAACAGTATAACCACTATCTTCTAATATGATCAGTTGGTTTTCATTTCATCAATAGAGTTTGTTTGGTACTATAGTGACTGAAAAAGGTGAATAACTTTACTCTAATTTTTCATATTGTTCATTGAGTTCTGTTTGCTTAACACAGAAAGTCAAGTTTGTGGTATCCAGCAAACAGATGCTGTACCTGTTGACAGTCTTTCCTCAAGAAACGCAGATGAGAACAGATGAGACCTTCGGTTTCACGTCGACTGATACCACATCATTTGTATAAGAAATGCATTTGTTGATTCCTTTTCAAAAATATTTTTCCATATTCTTCTATTTCCAGTAGCATCTACTTGTTCATTACTGACAATTTTTTATTCTTGATTTTCAGAAGATAAATCTGAAATCAATGCTGTCTGTTCCAGTAAAGGCAACAGTTTGACATTTCTTTTTACACTACAATCAGTTTATTACTGAATCGATTCAAGTATCGGTCTTCATTTGTTGTTGCAGTTTTTACATTTGACAGGTTAGAAAGCTGAAGGTTAACAGCAGTTACGCTTAATCTTTTTTCCGGCTTTTTAGGACAGTAGTGACATTCAGAATATTCTTTTTCTAAATCTGCATAAGTGTTTGATGAATAAACTGTTCAATTCTGAAGATTTAGTGTCTTTTTGATTTTGTCAAAGCAGCTTTCAACTCTGAAATCAGTATTTTCTATAATTTTTTCCCCCCGTGTAACTGTGATCCTGTTTGTAAAGAGACATTAAGGCCCGGTTTCACAGACAGGGCTTAGACTAAGCCAGGATTAGGCCATAGTTCAATTAGGACATTTAAGTAATTTTTATAAACGTGTTTAGAAAAAAGCATTACTGGTGTGCTTTTTGAGACAAAACAAAAGCACTGATATATTTTAAGATCAGTCAGTGCAAGTTTCTTTCAGTTGAAACAGCTCAGACTTACATTTTAGTCTGGGACTAGGTTTAAGCCTTGTCTGTGAAACCGGGGCTTTGATTCCCAGGACGAACATCTCACTTAATTTGCTTATCTGAACCCAGACGGCACAGGACGACACTGTCAGAATACTACAACCAGGACCAGGGGGCGGATAAACTAATTACAATCTCATGAATATTAATGTCCTCCTCTGGCTCAGAGTAGGGCTGAATGTAAAACTCAGATCCGGTGTGTGCCAAACTCAATTTTGTGTAAGCAGATAAAGCAGTATGTTTATTCCCATAGCAAATACAAATATTACTGTGAAAAGAGATTTGATTTGCTGACAGATTCAGTACAGCACTGTGTGCTTGCTGGACCCAGACATCTAGAGGAAATACTAGCTTTACAGTCTGTCTCACCACAAAAAAAAAATAAAATAATTCCAGATATAGATGCAAATCTATGGAAACCTTTTCAATTAAATAACTTTTTAACTGAAGAGAATTTTGGTGATCAGGGTGTCGCCACCCTCAATGGATTTATTGTGGTGTTAACATTGGTCTGCTAAATACATACATTACAAAAATAAATACAAATCTTCAGAAACATTTGCCCGCAAGCAACATGGAGAAGTCTTTTGAAAAACACAAAGGAACAAGTTTTTGTCAGGAAAAAAAAGAACAAAGCCATGACTTCACCCAAGTAATATAAAATAGAGAAAAAAAAAAACAGATATAGATGCAAATCTATGGAAACCTTTTCAATTAAATAACTTTTTAACTGAAGAGAATTTTGGTGATCAGGGTGTCATCACCCTCAATGGTTTTATTGTGGTGTTAACATTGGTCTGCTAAATACATACATTACAAAAATAAATACAAATCTTCAGAAACATTTGCCCGCAAGCAACATGGAGAAGTCTTTTGAAAAACACAAAGGAACAAGTTTTTGTCAGGAAAAAAAAGAACAAAGCCATGACTTCACCCAAGTAATATAAAATAGAGATAAAGTCTTTTAATGGCACAATCCATTTGAGTGAGAGGTGGGAAGATACAGCTCATTTGCGTGTCTTCATTTTCCTCCTGGCCTCCTTCCCTGGCCGTTTCTATTAAAAAAAAAAAAGAGAGAGAGATGAATGTGTGTGAGGGGACATCTTTAAAAATGTTAGAATAAAACAATACTGATTTTAAAAAAGTAAAATAAAACACTTACATTCGTCTTGCCTCCTTTGCCGAAATGTTTCCCACCTTTCCCATGAGCCATTTTGGCCTTGAATCCTGAAACGTCGTCATGGCTGTCTTTAGTGTTCCATTTGCTGCCCTTCTTTTTGCCTCCAAAGCCAAACTTCTTATCCTTGTATTTCCTCTTAGCATTCAGACTAAAAACAACAATAAATAATGAAAAATAATAATAAACAAAAATACACAATAATAATATATTTATATAGGTGCCGAAATATTATACAAAATATATTATTTTGTGTCACACAGACGAAAGAAAGAAAGAAAAAATGGAAGGAACAACATGAAGGTGAGTAAACAACCATTAGAAACAATATTTATTTATTCTGAACACACCTCTGCATGACCTTCACTTTAAATAAATGCTACTGTTTTTTTGTTTTTTGTTTCTTTATGCCAGCCACCGGGACCCTACTAATGCTTATAGTAATGAACGCAACTTTCACGTACATTTGATCAACAGATGCACTGCACGCTAGGGCTGTCAAAATGGCTGAACAACTAAATTCGAATTTTTTACTTAAATATTATCAATATTCAAATTTTATTCAAATTTAAAAAGCAATTTCAGTTAGGGGGGAAAAAGCTTTTGGCTTCTCTCCCGAGGCCACAAGAGGGCGCATCGAGCAAAATATTGTGCAAGTTTCTTCAAAGCGTAATAAAATAACACGACTATCTTTGAAAAAAAGTGCATAATGTTTAAAATAATGTTCAAAAACCTTATATAATTAATATAGTTGTTTAAATAATTAGAAACAAAACAGCATCATGCATGTATGTATAGTTTAATATAAAGGACCGAAAACCAATCACAAAGAGTACTTTCTTCATTTAAAAACTTGAGATGCAGTGGAACGGGGAAAACCGCCATAAAGTCTTGAGACATGTTTTTTAAAAGTTGAACTTACATTAATATTACATGGCTTTCTAAACATGCGGCTCTCTTGTGCGAGACGCGAGTGCAACGGTGATAAATGTCCCTCTAGAAAATGGGTGCACAACGCGAGTGCAACGGTGATAAATGTCCCCTCTAGTGTGAACGGCTTGGTTTCGGTTTTGACGTAAACAACATCTTCCCAGCATTGATTGTTCGCTTTATCTGCAATATTTTGAATGAACAACGTAGCAGCGCCGCATCTAGTGAGTTCAACTGAATAGGCTAACAAAAGCATTAAAAAGCAATGACACTTACAACGTCATCGCATCTTGTGCGCCACTGATAAGGCTGCCTGACGCACACCTAAAATTCGAATGCAAATGTGGATTTTTATTTTAAATTCGACGAATATTCGAAATTTTTTTTGACAGCCCTAATGTGTGTGTGTGTGTGTATATGTGTGTGTATAATATATATATACACCTTGCTACGTGTACTGCGTTAGGCTAACCGAGACTTGTCATTT